GGCAGAAGCTTCACAGGCATTTAATTTTTAAAAACGCTTGTACGTATTATTCGATTAAAAATGTACGAGTAGATTTTGAATGTCTGGTCATTTCGAGACGTACTAAAGCGATCTGGAATAAGTCTTGCCGTGTGGAAAATGTCAGTGGCTGTAGAGGGTTTTTTCACTTCCTCATTCTTTTTGATGTCCTTCCCCCACCCCCACCCCCAGCCCTTCTTTTTTATCGCGCTTATCCTTGTTTTTCACCTTCCATTTCCATCCCCATGTTCTATGTCCCCCAATCATTAACGCTTACTCTAAGTCCATCCAGATGATGACTGTTGACTAGTAAGTGACCATAAGCTTGATTGAATGTCTCGGGACACGGTTGCTGGTCGCTGTGGTGCGCTCGGTTGCGCACCTGGTCATGGCGCTTAGGTTGGGATCCGAGGGAGAGAGAGGGGAAGGGGGGGGGGTCCTTACTGTGTGTTTATGTGTGTCCTTTCGCTAACATTTCCTCAAGTATTTCGGTTATTGGGGCACGTGAAAGGATGTACTTGGCTTGCATCTGAGGCTTAATAGTAAAAGTAAATGTTTTCACTGAAGCTCTAGGCCCCTACCTTCATCTTCAACCCAAGCACTGTGGTGCACCTTACAAGAGAATGGTTTTTTGGGGGAATTCCAACCATTGTAGTTGTTTTTATTTTTGTGTCCCATATTCCCTTTCCCTTTTTTGAATTATTACGTCGACACTTCTGTTATTAGTGTATAAAATGCAACCATGTTATATTTTTGTTTTTAATCTGTCATTGTATGTTTGTTTTTTGGTCCACGACTGCATTCATTCTAACAACGCTGCCATGTCATTTCTCTTTGTTAGATGATGGCGCGCTTTGAAAGTGTGCTGTTTGTATTATTCATTCATGATGATGGTGATGATGGAGGAGGTGGAGGAGATAGGAGGTGGAGATATTTATATAGTTCAATACGTTCAGGTAACTCTGCCTCCACCTTTCTTTGTTCCTTTTTTGTCCCCCGTCCGCATCGTTATTTTCTCCGTCTCTAATGTCTGTTTGCCTCCTCACCCCTCCTCTTTTTGGTCTTGTAGGTTTGTTCTTCTACTCTGTATTCATTGACTCTTCCACAATATGAAACCATTATTTACATACTCTCTCTCTCTCTCTCTCTCTCTCTCTCTCTCTCTCTCTCTCTCTCTCTCTCTCTCTCTCTCTCTCTCTCTCTCTCTCACACACACACACTGACAAATACTCACATACACATACGCACGTACACACACCAACACACACGCACGCGCGTGCGCGCTAGCTCAAATGGTCGAAAGACGCACGCACTTGGTTGAGGGCATGCATGCGTTCACTATCTTACAATGTACAGTATTGCCTCTATGCTCCTGCTGCTACTGATGTTGCTGCTGCTGTTGCTGTTGCTACCATCGCTCTGCCTTGGATTGTTGGTCATGGCAGTGGCGAGAGACCTGTAGCTTTGTGCACAAAACTGCTGCCATTGCCTCCTCTCATTGCACTCTAACGACTGATTCCTCCCCGCACTCCCGTACCAGCACCAGGGACGTGGAAGAACCGACGAGCCCCACCAAGACAGAACAGTTGATCGTGGCATGTGACATTTGTTTTATTACCCCGACCTGACTTTAACAAATCTAGGTCGGATGGACGGGTGGACGGCAGCAACCCTCTCGTGACCCTCAGCCAGCAGTGACCTGTCCTATGGCCATTGTCCATCACATCCGTCATGTCCTCCTGAGTCGTAGCTTGTGTCTGTCTGTGTGTGTAGCGGCACAGCAGCCTACCATGTTACATGATGATGCAATGTGTACGGGAAGGTCCCGGGCTGCTGCCTATACACTATCTACACACTACACACCACACCGTGCATGGCCCAACACGCTCTCTACTAACCCCCCCCCCGTCTCTCCCCCGAAACCCCTCGTGCTCAACTTCAGTGTGAGGTGCCGCATGTATGGCCAGAGTTTGTTGCATGCTCTAACCACCGGAAACTGGCTCTAATATTGGACTTTGGTGTCGTCCACTTGTGAATGCGTAGTGAAGACAGCATGTTCCGAAAATAGCAGACCCCCAAGGAAAATATGTAGACGTGCCATGGGTTGGGTTTTTTGGGGGAGCTGTTTTGGATATTTTCTCTACAACCGTCGAAAACCAGGACAAAACATTAGGTCACCTGTGTGTTTCAGGTAATTATTTTTAGATTTACCAGTAGTGATAGATTATGTTCAGATCTGATCTAGGCTGCCACTTGTTGGATGTATTCTTAGATACCTGAGGATTTGTGGGAGCAGGAACTTTAAAAATCACTGTTACTGCCCTCCCCTCAGGGCTGATGGGAACCAAAGGATACATGTCATCATGTTTTGTTCACCTGCCCAGTCACTCAATCCTCTTTTTGCCAGATCGGGTTCTCGTAGAACCTCCCCCCCTTGGTTTTTTTTATTTTTTTACAGATAACACAACATACTTGTGGGAAGTTTGCAGATAGCACACACTTGTGGGAAGTCTCGACCCTTTATCAGATGGACGTTCAGCACGCTGTTCGTTGATTAATGCTCTCCTAGTTGGGTTTTTTTCAATCATAATAGATAAACGGTAACTGTTTGAGTCGAGTTTGGTTACAAGATGGCTTGGGACTGATGGGTCATTTTATTAGTTCCATCCCCTAGATATAGCGTTGAATCAAGTTCTGTTTTAATACAAGGTGGGCAGAGAAGTGGCGGAATGTGGGGTAGAGTGTCTCTGGCATGACATACGATGTTGTGTACGTTCTGTGAGTAGAAGGTACTGTGGTGGAAGTGATGTGGAAAGGGCTAGTGGTCCAGTGTAGCTATAGTTCCGTAGATTGTATCATGTAGATGGGGAGTATGCTGTGACTGGTGTCTGGTGTCTCTTTTACCTTGACCGTTGATGTCTAAACGGTCAAAATCTGAAGTCTGCATAGTTGAGGCTGCAAGACTGGTCAGGTAGACCTACGCATGGCAGCTGTGTTGGAGTGCCTTGCCCATCGTCCGCCCTGAAATGTATGGCTTTCACAATGACAAATGGAGGCATGCAAAACGTTTCCATGGCTCTTACTCTTTATTTGGGCTTGCGTTCGCCCAAGACAGGATGAGAACAAGCCAGGTGATGTTGCGTTTCCGCTTTTTCGCGATGGAGACGCAGACTTTTGTACCTGCAATCATTGCTCCTAACGTAGAGGACAATGGCGGGAAGAGGCTGCTGTGGGCCAATAGTGCAAGCCGGATAAAGCAGCTCAGATTAGAATTGTGCTACTTGGGTTCAAATCCTTTTGTGAACTGAGATTTTGAGGTTTGCGGGGTTTTTTAAAGGCTCTGTTGATCCTTCTCATCGTAGATAGTCGTTCATGGTACCCGCGTCCCACCTCGTAAAAAATGACGGACTGCAACGAAAGGATTCCCTGAACAGAGCTTCAACTCGAGCTTATGACCGCACTCAGATAGTTTTCAGTCCTTTGAAGGAAAAAAGTGTTGATGTTCTCTTAGACCATCCCGAGTGGACTTCCATTTAGGAACAGGTACATTTTTGTATTTTTGTTGCTAGGTATCATTTTTATTTCTTTCCTTTTGATGATAATATATCTTTGCATTGCAGCATTGGTGACACGTCAAATGTATTTGGTTCCGTGTGTCAGGTGTTGACATTTTCCCCTTCCCACCTGTCCACAGGCCCAAAACGTTCGCAATCAATAATGACGTGATCTTCTGCACGACCCACTACAAGCAGCTGTTTGCTACCAAGGGGAACTACGACGAGGGCTTCGGCCGCATGCAGCACAAGAAACGCTGGAACAGCCATCCTAACCTGGCTGAAGGGGAGGGGGATGGATCACAAGAAGCCAAATCATAGAGACAGTAGTTTACCGTTATATAATTTAGCCATGTTTGATCATGTATGTTTGTTTTTGTTACCATTTTTTAAAAGAATGCCCATTCTTTTGATTCCTCGTATTGTGAGCTGAGAACAATAGTACCAGGTTTGTTTGAGATTTGAGGTATTGTGTCAGAGCCATGTTTTATCGTTCAGTGATGAGGCGGAGAGCTGGGTGGTTGATGGGAAAGGTCAGATTGTTGAATTTATTGCTCAACAGGGCTCTGAAAGAACTGAGCTCTCTGTGTAAGCGTCATTCAACGACATATCAAGTGTACAGACAAGCCTTGAAAAAGTGGACATTATTTGTATTCTTATGAAAAAATCTAGTTTAGTAGGGGTTTAGAAACCAAAAATGATTTTTACCTTTTTCTGGAAACAGAAAAGGAATGTTATTTCCAGAAATATAGATGTTGTCTTCACTAAGTCAGGAAAACAATGTTCTAGACAAAGGCATTTATATGAGGCAGAGCTATACCAGGTCTTGGTCTCTCATGAATGCTCATCAATTCTGTCTCTGTAAAACTACACTCGAGTCAAAGCCTATCTCTGTTGTTTGAAAGTATGGTGTGAAGCAATGATAGAAGTGTTGTTTTTTTCTGTTGTGAGGAGTGTAGTCTGAACCCCACAATTACTCTAGCGATGTTCTGATCATCAAAACATTGGCTGTTGACCAGCTGAGGCAGAGAAAAAGTACAGTCACGTATTGGAGCTGCTGTTCCAGCCTGTAACACAATTACTATTCCTTTCTTCCATTGCCATCATCATACAAAAACATTTCATCTTTGTATTTTTGAAGGGAATCATGTGCTTTGTTTTGTCATTTCATGGACATTTCACAAGTTTTGAATGACTAATAGAGCAGCTCTGTCATGTTTTTAGAAGAAAAAATTTGTTACCTTCTGAAGAATCGAGAAACTCGTTATGGCGACTTACTGCGAGTGTGATTTTTGCTTTTCACCCTGCCTTTTGAGTACTGCCAGTTAATATGGTTTAACAATATATGGCAGCTGAATCGGTTTAGAAGAAGACTGAAGTAAATATGTAAAGCAATTTTTTATCTGAAAATGTCAGCCGTTTTGAAAGTAATTCTTGTTTGTACTGTAAAGAAAAGTTTTCTTCAAACTCGAACATTTTGTTTGTACAGAGAAATCAGTAATATTTTGTCTCTCTAAGAGTATTATGTGAACTTAATGTCACACACTTAAAACTTTTTCAATTTCAATGAGATGCTTTATTTTTTTTAGTGTCACTTTCCATCTGTGACTGAAATGACTGTTGACTTTCATGACTTAAGTTCGAGTTCTTCCTGGTCTAAGTGCTACTTAACTAACACTGCAGGTTTGGAGGTGAGAGCTGTGGGATGTACCATAGTGTGTTCCACTCTGTAGGAGCATATTCTCACTCCACTTGTACATATCTTTTCTTATTCTATTGTGTCAAGAGAATGGGGACTCCAAGAGCTTAAGTTGCAAAAGGACTCATCTCTTACTTGAACTTGAATGTCGTTGTCAAAAGACTTGAATTCTGTGTGTAAAGAAGGAAGAGAGTGAGTGTTGCTCAACAGATGAGAAAGGTCATTATGCAGTGTGATAGCTCTGAACTGATTCAGCAGTATTCAAGAACTTATTTAGAAAAGTAAGACTATTTTGTACTAATGTTTTGATTTTTTATATAAGCCATAAGTAGTTATCTTCATTTTGTTTTTTGTTTTTCGATTTGAGAAGACCAGAAGACTCTAAATGTACATTTAGGAAGAGATTCAGAGATGCAGGGTTTTCATGAAAAAAAAAATGCTGCTGGCGGATGCTGTATTTATCGTCAGTTTCATATTATTTGACACTGGAGAATCTTTAGAGAGTCTGATCTGGTGATTTTAGTGCCAAAATAATGAGAATTTATCTCTGTACATGAATATATTTTTTTTTACAGAAACTGTTCTGCCCAGAATAACAGCCTTGTTGAGTCTTATTTATCCAATAGTTCGGTTCTTGGTTTGTTTGGGGGGGTGGGGAGGGTTATTCTTTGTAGCTACAACATTTGCTCTGACCATAACTTATTGTTTGCAGTCCCACAGTTGTTTTAGCTCTTGCCATATCACTAGAGATGATTTTTGTATAATTTCGAAAAACACTGACAATGGCTTTGTATAGCTTTATACATAATGTGTGTCATGGTTTAAGATTTTGTTGGCTGATGAAGTGGCTGGTCAATCATGATGAGGATAAGCTGCAGGGCTTACTACAGTCCAGTGGGTAGGGATGTTTGCTCCAGCGTGAGGGGGTCGCATGTGGCTGCTGTGTGGATGCTTAGTGGGAACGTCTTGATGGTAGCTGGGAGGCTGTATTGGAAAGTGGCAGCCTCCACAGTATCAAGCAGGAAAACTGAACATCAAATCAACTTTATTTTTAAAATATGCAAATTCAGGTGTTACAATCAAGTGTGCTTATGCTAGTGATGAATAAAGGAGGTGGAAACCTTTCACGACTGAACATGTTTGTAAAGTGGGTCATGCCCTTTGTGCTGGGTCCTGTTCTCTGAGAGAGGAAGAAAATGTTTTGATACTTCAGTACCTAAGACCTGTATAGGGGAGAGGGAGGATGAGACATTTGATGACATCTAAGGTCGCCTTATACCTATACATGTGTGCAGGACGGTGGTTACGATGAGGGAGTTGTTGCGTGCTGTTATGATGCTCTTTCTGGTGTTTTGTTCATTGCTCTCGCACATTTGTAGAAATGATACATGTACCACGATGCATTGAGGTTTCTAAATATTCACATCATGGAGCGGTTTTTTTTCCCTCCTACTGTATTGTTCTTGTGTTCTCATCTGGATGCTCGTCTCTCATTGAGTGTGTGTGTGTGCATCTGTCCCTCTTGCCTGGCCACAGTTTGTATTCTGAGAGCATAATTTTCCAAGCTGCATATTTTATACTCTGTTTTACATCAAGCATTGAATAGGTCTCATCGAATGGTTTACATATATTTTTTTCTCATGGTAAGATTTGCTCTGTAATTTTTATTCACTTAAAGAAAGGAGTTTGGAGGGTTGCCAATATAGAGGAAAGTTGTTTGTAGAAAGGGAGGCTAACCAGCTAGACCTGAAGGACATTCTGCTTCTCCTCCAAGAAGGAACTGGAATGTTGTCCATGGGGCTCTAATGCTCCCACCAAAAGCGTGAGCCATGAGATATGTGCCTGAAGGTTACCATGGACTCACCAGAGTGACTCACAGCTCTAGTGCCACTGCACAGCCAGTGTTAAGGGACTAGGGACTGATTGAGCCTTGTAAAATTTTGGGTTGTTTTTTTCTTAAAGAAGGTTACCAGAGTCGACCTGTTAATACTTTTTTCATACTTTTTCATGTGACTGCTGCTTTCTGCTTGTCATCAATTTAAACTATAAGCAGCTCTGCAGCATGGTTATTTTTTTTCCTTTTGTTTCAGTAAGGCAAATGTAGACTTTTATTGTGTATGCTGTAGCTTTATTTGTTTTGTAATCTCTGACTTGGCTTGGATACGTTCAAGCCCTGCCAATGTCATGGGCTTGTCTGCTATTTTTCCCCCACGTCTTGTTAAGAATGTACCTGGGTTTTTGAGAGTGTCAGGTTTCTCTGTGCCTGTCTTTGAGCGTCTTGCCTGTCCTATGACTGATCTTGTTGGTGTGTTTCCGAAGCTGTTCTCTGTGCTTGTTCTGTTTAAACCAACTGAGCACTACGCAAGATTTCAACATGTTAATTCATATAAAGTATTTTTGGTAAAATAAAATACGGAGACCTGCTTGTACATGTTATGTTTGTATTAAACTTTAACCAAGCCAGAGGCATCTCATCAAGACTATCGGAATGTTCATGTGGGGCTGTATTCATGATGTACCAAGAGTACTTTAATCTGTTTTGTCACAGGAAACTTTAGGATGTCTTTATAGTGAGTAACAACATTCACCTGATACCAAGCAAACGTTTTTTTTGAAAAACAATTGCAGCTCTTTTAACGTCATTGGCCGACTCTGAGAGAAGGTTTGTCCTGGGGTTTGTGACTAGTGGCTATCATTGGGGCCAGAGAAGGCTTCACAAGTGGGAAATTGTTCTGACCTTTGGCCTTTTGAACATCACTAGTTGTCCTCTAACATCGTTCCATCAACGGTTTTTGTTGGAAATGTCATTTCGGTTAGCTGACAGTTTGCCTCCAACATGTGTTGTTGTTAAATTACCAACCAAACAGCCGTGGTCATCGTCAGAAATAAGGACAAGAACTATTCTCTTTGATCGAGCTCAGTACAAATAATGTCATGTGCACACTTTATTTAAAATGCCCAACTAATATGATTTTGCAAGCTGTTTCCTGGTCTTCTTCAGACCACAATTAAAAAAAACACACGAGGAAATGAGTACAAAATGTCAGTGCAATGTCATCAGTAAATAGAATTTATGTGATTTGCATTTTGTTCTTATTTTTGTATCAAGTATAATACATTCTTTATTATTATTGCAAATAAACATTATTAAAGCTTCAGCTTTCTGTTTTACAAATTTTGATTGTACTAATGGTTAAGCTTTCTACTCTGTCGTTCGTATTTTATAAATTTTAATGTGCTTATCATATCTAGTGTGGTCTGCTTCTTCTACTTCTTCTACTCCTTGTCAGTGTTGCTGTTTGTGATATAATGTTGATATATTAGTCTTGGTTTTAAGATTTCGAAACAACTTTGTTCAAAATTTTGTGTTCGAATACCGCGTTTCACGGTTGCAAAATTTGGAAAGGAACCAGAGTAATATATGTATTTTTCTTACTTCTCCGGAGCACAATAGATAGGTAGGCCTACATGTACTTAGCTTTCGGCAGAGAGATACAAGCATGTAAAGCATAGTGTTTGAGCCCTTAGCGGGATGCCTTGTTGCACGTCCCCTGGGGGACAGATTGAGAAACCAAGTCGACAAGTTGTCTGTGATTGTCGGTGTGGAGTGGTGTCTGTGGTATTGCAAGTGAGGAGCTTCGCCGTTCTACGCAGGAGGCCTGAGTTCAATTCCTGAGTTGAAAGAAATTATTTATTGAGCTTTGATTTATTTCCGCCGGGATGTTATATCCCACTCAGCCCGGGTGGCCCTTACAGGTGAGGTTGGAAGACCTATTCTAAATGGTCTAAATTATGTCGCTGGGGGCATCAGAATGAAACTTCTTTTTTTTGTGGTAAATATGGCAACCCTCAGTATTAGTAGGCCCTTTCCATTTCAAGCTCGTTCCAAGTGAGCTTTATCTCTCTCATGTCCCTTTCCACACATCTCCTCCATGTTTACTGTGGCCTACCCCTGCCGGTAATAAAGTACCTACCTTCAAAAATGTAGTCAGTGCGTAGTCGTGCGAGGCGTCGGAGGGACAACAGGCTACAGTCAACAGCAAACCAGCAAAACGTAAGCAAAGTGCTGTCTTGTACCAACCCTATTTCACCAATTTTTATGAAACACTGAATTTTAGTGGCGAAATTGGGAGTTTCGGAACTTCAAAAAGTGAAAAAGAAACTGAAATTCTACGGAACAACGACACTAGCCGTTTATTTTGGGTTCAAAAGGAAGATTTGTTATAAAAACTCCCTGAAGTTGGAAACGGAGTTTTGCAAGATCTTTAATAGCGTTTAGCACGAGAGAGAGAGAGAGAGAGAGAGAGAGAGAGAGAGAGAGAGAGAGAGAGAGACCAATGGATAGTGCATTGTGCCTTGCAAAACCAAGGACTCTTCTTTGATTCCTGCAGTAATTTCACAATGGTATGACAATTAAGTAATGTCATCGTCAATGGAGACTTCCTCACTCAGGAATGGAACTCACGTCTTTCAGTTTTAGTAGATGATTGGAAAGTGTCACTTGTACATCATAGGCCTACTTCTTTCCCGTCTGTCTGTCTGTCTGTCTGTCTGTCTGTCTGTCTGTCTGTCTGTCTGTCTGTCTGTCTGCTCT